GGGGATGGAAGCCAGGGGAGGGAGTGGCAGAGAGGGGGGGTGGATGGAAGCCAGTGGAGGGATTGGCAGAGAGGGGTGGTGGATGGAAGCCAGTGGAGGGACTGGCAGAGAGGGGTGTAGGGTGGAAGCCAGAGGATTGGAAGAGAGGGGCAGGTATGGAAGCCAGTGGAGGGATTGGCATAGAGAAGTAGGGGATGGAAGCCAGTGGAGGGATTGGAAAAGAGGGGTGGAGAATGGAAGCCAGTGGAGGGATTGGCAGAGGGGGGCGAGGGGATGGAAGCCAATTAAGTGATTGGCAGAGAGGGGTGTAGGGTGGAAGCCAGAGGATTGTAGGAGAGAGTCAGGTATGGAAGCCAGTGGAGGGATTGGGAGAAATGGGTGGCAGACGCTGAATGGCTAGTAGGGTGGATGAGTCATGATGGACTGAAGGGGGGATAGCCTATACAGAGGTAGGCCAATGAGGAGGGAGTGGAAATAGCCGAGGTGAGAGATAACACGGAAGCGAAGTGTTTATCTGAACCCCCCTAACATATTTTGTTCCCATAAACCTACCCCAGGCATAGGATATGCAGCAGTCTGGACCCTATCAGCCTCTGCTGGCCTTAGAATACCAACACCCCGGATGTAGTTTAATGCGCACATATGCAGATGTACAAAATACTTTTTGGCTTGACGTACACATTACGGCCCGTTCCACCTTTTCCAAAAATGTAACAAATGCACCCAAATAATTAAATAACAAATTATCATTTTTACATTGAACTCTGCAGAGCATTGCAACCTGGATCAGTGTGTCACGGGTGCAGTGCTCAGGCTCCTGCAGACTCATCACCCAGGTTCAGGGCGGTGCGGCGGTATGGCCCTGGAAGGAGGAAGTGCTGCTGAGCTATAGTGGTGAGGAAGGAGAGAGACGGTCATTCTTCTACAAGTCTCAACAGCCATTGTCATTGGGGAGTGGACTATGCCTTTAACCCTATTGCTGCGGGGGACATTGCTTGCAGCACTGTCCTGTAAACTTTCTGTCTGTTCACTTGCACGGGTGCGGTAACCCCCCCCCTCACCGTTTATACTGTTCTTCAATGCCCCTCGTGGGTGTCAGGGTCATCCATGGCAGATCTCAGCGGGAAGAGTGGAGGACCAATAGTGAACATCCATTTTCTGATCCTCTCTGCAGTGAATGGAAGCTGAAGGCGACAAGCTTTTCTTCACTTCCAGTTTCAGTAATGCCATTCCCCGATCACTGTGGCCACTGGCCAGGGAAGAAGCTATTCAATTATCAACTTCAATGTAGTGCAGAGGTGACAACAGGGGTCTAATAGACCCCTAATACCCCAATATCTCTTTAATAAGGACCCCTCAGCTTCAATGGGGTACAGAGGTGACAACAGGGGTCTAATAGACCCCCAATACCCCTATATCTCTTTAATAAGGACCCGTCAACTTCAATGTAGTGCAGAGGTGACAACAGGGGTCTAATAGACCCCCAATACCCCTATATCTCTTTAATAAGGACCCGACAGCTTCAATGGAGTGCAGAGGTGACAACGGGGGTCTAATGGACCCCATTACCCCAATATCTCTTTGATGAAAACCCATCACAATGCGCTATCTCATAAGGGGCTTGATAGCCCCCTACGTGATAACAGGAAAGTTAAGCAAAAAAAAGTTTAATTAAAGTTAAACAAAAGAATCAAATAAATAAATACACATCCCAAAAATTATTTCTTAAAGCCCCCCAGGCCCCAACATACGCGTGTTGGTTATGTGTTTAGATGAAGCACTTGAGGAGATCTTGAGGAATGCTGAATTAGGTTTTACTTGCTTGGAAGGACGTTACATGTATGAATACAGGAATACAGCATCAGGAAACTTCCTGTATACATCATGGATAAAACACGCATGAGCATAGAGACTAACATTGCACAACAGCGCCACCTACTGCTCAAAAGACATTGTTACAGTACACAGCTGGTGTATTTCCAACAACATGCACATACGATCTTAAAGCAGAACTCGGGGCCAAACCCTTGCAGTGGGGACATCCCTGCACTGCAGGGGTTAACCGCTTGTTTGTGTCTAGGGAGAAAAAGTTTCTATGCACCCCATCCTCAGAGCGGGCTGGCTGTGCTAGCGCTCTCTCCAGGCCTCCTTCTCCTACACTGCAGCAATGGTATGCCCCTTGACACGCTCTCTCTAGGCCTCCTTCTCCTACACTGCAGCAATGGTATGCCCCTTGACACGCTCTCTCTAGGCCTCCTTCTCCTACACTGCAGCAATGGTATGCCCCTTGACACGCTCTCTCTAGGCCTCCTTCTCCTACACTGCAGCAATGGTATTCCCCTTCACGTCCTTACATTCTATACACAGTCTATTGGACGTGATGACTAAAGGATCCTTAGACCACAAGAGCGGAGGGGGAGCGAGGCTACGCTCGACGAACGCTCTACAAAACGCTCAAAAATATAAATCCCATTGTATTCAATGGTCTCGTTCCCACCTCGGCGTATTTCCGCCCGTCCCTAACGCGCTACAAACCGGCCCACGCCTGAAAAGGTACAGGTACTACTTTGGGCCGTTTTGTTGCGCGTTTCCATTGGGACACAGCCAAGAAGCCTTCTGAAACGCGCGACGGTCGCGCGACTTTTTTTACCGCAAATCGCGGTAAAAAAACGTGCG